AGCCCTACTCAGCCATCGGTGCAACGACCCCACCTGTTGCAAACCGCAACCTTGTCTTAAGCCCAGCTTTTGTGAGGGAAAAAACAAAGAACCACAAAACTGAAAACTTCGTTGAAAATTTGGAAAACTGTAGGCCGACATGTGCTTACAACCCAAACACATTGTAAAGCCTCTAAGGTCACCTGCGGCTCATGCAAACGTGCAAACTGTGTGCTAGTGACCACACCCCTACCCGAGGGCCACTGCGTCCCGAACGGGTCTTGTTAACCACGGAAAGAAAAAATATAACCTTGGAAACTGGCTTGACCAAATATTTACAATTAGGGAGTTGAAAGGATTTGAAACAGACACTTCAGATTACTGACACTATGACATACATGTACATGCACAATGTATATGCGCAGTTGTTTCTTACGTACAGTCGTTTGCCTAAACTTCATTTGTAATAATTAAGTTGTAAAATTCAGTAAAAAAAATAGCGTACAATTTTTTTTTTTAATTTGATATGATCACTGTGAAATCTTGAGCTTTTTGGATGTGGTACATGTATGTGCTTCAGTAAACAAAAACCGGGAGATGCTAAGGGTTGCTAGCAACAACGCGATGGGCTAATTTCACTGATAGATGTTGACAATTCAATGGTACCTTCTGTTCACTCTAAACACTTCTGTTATACTACTAAACGACCAGACTTGTTAACGCTCTATTTGGGCAATTATTGGGTCCTCAGTGCATTTTTTTTTACCTGGCGTATAGAAGAGAAGAAATCATACACATCATATTTGGATTTTAATTCTTTCTGGTGTTTCCATTCTATCATAATTTTCCAGATGCAGAGCAGACATTAAGTTTGGCTGCTGCAAGTTCCCCCAGATCGGTGCCCAGGTCAGCCCCCATTGGGACTTGGCCTTCCGAGGTACTCAACCTAGATGCCGGCCAACCACCTGTTCTTCAAAATGGACACCCTAGAATTAATTAAAAACCTACGGGATATTACCACGACAACGGTACGCGTGACCTTACGAGGTCATCCTACATCCCTCGCCATGTAAAGACAGTCCACTGAGAGCTGAAAATACGACAATTTTCCGCATTCATTACACTGGAAAATGTCTGTCTTCAATTTACTTTGAATCGTGTCTGGAAAATAATGCAATAAATTCAGAAGGAGGGGAGAGGGTCGTCGATTCGCTCCACATTTTGTGTACCCAAAGAACAGAGCCAAGTTCCCGATAAATCTATGCGGGAAGCATATTGATCAATATTGTTTTTATCCCTTTCCCTCCATTTTGGTACAGTGTTTGTATTGCAAGACGCTCGCCGCGGACAGATTTAAAGGAGTCCTTGTGTAAGTTATAATGGGGAATGGAATTTTTCCTATAATTGGGGCTTGCACGTCCTCCAGACGACCTTGTTTTGTTCCCTCGCCGAGTTGATCCATGATCAGACCTAAATAGTCTGGCAACGAGCCTCACGGTGGACCTAGAGTTGGGTAAACAGTCGAACTTCCGAGGTGGGGGAGGGGGCGGCTCAACAGAAGAAACACTTGCTCACTGATTTCTCATATCTGTACCTACAGTTCGAGTCCTCCTACAATATCTGAAAATTAATTCCCTTCAAGAGACCTGCCTTTGATCGAATGTCTAACACTTCTTTTTGTTCGGAGCTGTGCGACCGCGGGGGCATTTTCGTGATTTGTGGGTGATTCGTATCCAGCTAAATCTTCAAATGATAACCACTCTCTCATCGACATTTACCTGTAGCATAAACTCAAACTCCAACAGGCTGACAGAATAACGTCATCACAAGGTCACTATGTGTGTTAAGATATTATTAACAGGCAAATGTTACTTAACACATCACACGTGATAAAACACTTCATGCGTACTTTGCTGTGCGCATGGCAATAGGACTTACACGATCCTGCGCGTAGTCGTATGAGTGAAGTGCTATTCAGAAATTTCGCGTATAAATTGTGCAACGGCTTTAAATATTATTATAATTATGTGCATTCACATGTGTATGCTGGGTGGGGCATGAGGGATAACAGCTTACACAGTTTATACCAATTTGAGGAGGTAAAAACTCGACTTTAAAACCCGTGACACCAAAAATATAATATAACATTTTAAATAAATATTCTGCCCAAACACTGGAACTTAAGCTTGCCCATCATGGGCAAATTTTCCTCTGATTTCTTCCACTGAAATAACTGTAGTTCACCAGAAAATGAAAACGATTCCACGGAATCTAACTCATCGTTGTATAAATCGGATGGGCTCAGTCATCATGAAAATGCGTTGTTTCAATGTGACACCCATGATGCCCGATTGGTATGACAGTGGACCGGGTTCAAGCAACACTTGTGCACGTCCTCGCATGCAATAAAACTTTCACTTCTTTCTGTACTCAAATGGAAACCTTATAATTGGCCGGGTTATTAAGAGACAAAGATACCTCAGAAACAAAATTATAGAGGGATCTCAGGGAATCTTTTCCAATTTCCGAGTTGGCTCCACTAGTCTCTATGCCTGCGGACATGCAGTGGGTCATTCGTGTTCAAGTGACCAGTCTGGTCTTGTAACTGAACACAAGAGGGGCTTGTTATCGTGCCCAAGATGGCGAATTATACTGCCACTTAACCCACATTAAATAGGAAGCAACTTCTCAATAAATGGGTGATCGACTATAAAAATGTATCATAACTCATGTTTTTCTGCTTCCACTCCTTTGAAAAATATTTTAGGACAGCAAAAGATCAAGTACCTGTCGTCTGAAACATACAATATCAGATGCATAGGAAGAATAAAAGGAGAAATTGGTCTATATAAGCTAGGCAATTTCTCTCTCTCTCTTAATAGTGACACAACCTGATCACAAATGTGACGTTCTGTTCGCTTGTTTCAAGAATAAAGAAGGGGTAGGCAAACATAGCACCACACGCTTACTACGTGTGTATATAAAAACATGTGAAAACCTTGGAATTTCGTGCTTCAATGCCCCGCAAAACGCAGACATTAAAAGGCAAGTCAGCGATACTGTGTGCTGTCCTGCGATCTGAAGCTGGATGGACCCTTAATTTGGAAATGTGAGCGAAGGCAAGTTGGCTGTACATGTACACATGTACATGTACATGTATGACCTTCAGTGTACTGTTGATGTTTCGTCACGTGTTCAATAACCACAGACTGAAAGGACTGTCTTAAAAACCGGGGGTAACAAACACTTTTTTAACCTTTTGTGTGATTGGATTTATGCGGGATTAAAACTGTGTCCATTTTTCATATGAGTCAGCTCTGCGCGCCCCTTTAAAGATGACACATACTTGGATAATGAAAGTCAACACGGTGAGTCAACCCCTTTGAAAGGAATCACAAAAGGAACTGAAGAATATCAACCAACGCTTCTACTGATGTGGCTATTGCCCAACAGGTTGTAATATGCCGTCTTAAAGGGACCTGACTAATCATAGGAGCATTATGTTGACATTATATGATTGTTTTTGCGAGGAACCTGCTAAGAGAGTAAATATAGCGGGCCTATGCTTGTTCAGGGCTCAATTCCATGGAGCGGCTAGGCAGGAGATGCTGCTGGGTTCGATTTTTATATTAAGCAAAGCCAACCCACTTCTGATTAAATCTGTGTGCTTTGCAGTTCTCCAGTTGGTCCCTACAGGAAACAGACAAACCAAGGCCAGCATAACTGAAAACTGCAAAAAGGTTGTCTCCCAAACCAAAATGAGGCTAAAATATCCGCGGTTGAAAACCGTGAGAGAGTATTATGTTATGTCTCCATTCTCTAGAAATTCCTAAAAGCCTGTCATGATAGAGCACATTTCGTCATGGCAGCGTGTACTGCTCTGTTAATCAGTGATACAAGAGTCTACAAAAGATTTATCTGTTTTATCTTTTAGTACCTGGCAGGTTGGTACCGGGCAGCACCCCTGAATTTAATCCACATTCGTTTCGATTGCTCTTCGGTGAAAAGTCACTAAATAAGCTAGAACATATTGTTTGTCGAAAATTGCTAATATGAAAACAATATCAACCTTTGGTCGATATGAAAGCACGAGTCGGGCGAGTGATCACGGCAATTTGAATATCGATACTAAACCTTCCCGCCGTGAACTATGAACATTGCACAACAACGCTCAAAAGAGAATTACTTCATCCGGGTAATCCCGCCACCTTCAGGATCGTGAAGATGATTGGTTGGGAGTGATGTAATGAACTCGATATAGGAAGCAATATCTGACGTCAGCGCGGTCGGTGACGGGGTATATATTGGGATTGCGCACAGTGCAGCAGCCGTTGTTTGCCTCATTCACTCCTTGGGATCCTCCACACCTACCGGCGGTTTGTCTGGTAAACCGTCGCAAGGTCCTTCCCTTGGGGAATCGGGTTACAGTCTCAAATTTCTCTCCGGGGTTGCCCCAACTCACCCTTGTGCGCTCTAACCACACGACCAGACCGCGAGAGCGCATAAACATAACAGGAGAGACAAGGAGACACACACACAAGTTATTTATATGACAAGCGAGACAGGGGTAGCCGTCATTCCAGCACAGCAAGCTGACCTCGGTAAGGTCACCGCGATTAGGCCGAGCAGTACAGCCCCGCTAGTTTCCCCGGTGCTAGCTCGGCGTGTGTAGCCGTGACACTATCGAAAGCCACCTGCTTTTGCTGCCTGCAGTGTACGGGAGATGGCAAGTACTGATGAGACCAGCTGTGACTTCGAGACAGACGCAGCTCTGGCCATGGAATACATTCAGGATTTCGACCTGCTTCCGTTGGCGCTGGAACACATCGAGGTGAAGCGAGAGGACCAGGCGAACTCGCTGGGAACGTCCTGCCTGATACAGGGCCAGGGAGCCGGTTCTGCTGCCGCTGTGACCAGCAGCGGTGGTACGGGCGCTGTGGCTGCAAAGCGACGCTCTCCCCCGACAAGCCTGCCCAACCTCGGCACGGGATCCCTGACTCCGTTAGTTGAGTCCCCGTGCGTTGACGTGCCTCCTTCACCGGACGATCTGGGTCTGATTCCCAGCCCGGTCGACATGGAGTACAAACCAAACCTCGATGAGCTGTATTGGATGTCGAGCATCCAGTCTCTGACCACCATCAATAATCTGCAGCTGATGTCCCCGGTCTACAGTACTGGCGACACGGGTGACATTACGACAGCCACCCGTCCCTCTGACCTCGACTGCGACAAGTATTCGGACTGTTCAGGAACTGAGCCTCGCGACGAAGATGAAGAGAGCATCTCGTCCGCAGCCGATTCTGACAGTACCGACCCAGGCGCTCCCGCCGTGACCAAGCCGACTAAAGACATTTTTTCTTTGTACCGCGACGACGAGTTAGTTCGCCTGACAGTCAGGGAACTTAACCGTCAGCTTCGTGGATACAAGAAAGAGGACGTTGTGAAGCTGAAACAGAAGCGACGGACACTCAAGAACCGAGGCTACGCGCAGTGCTGCCGCACCAAACGTCTCAAACAGCGGTTGGATCTGGAACACAGTCAACTCTTCCTTCACACCGAGGTGACCCGGCTGAAGAAGGAACTGGAACGTGTTCAGAACGAGCGAGACAAGTATCGTAAAGAACTCGAACTTGTCAAGAGTGCCCGCCGATTGAGAGCCGACAGTCTGCCGAGCAGTCCTGAGTCCCCAGAGTACTTCATGTAAACATGTGACATTACCACCTTGCAGCTAAAAATATCAAGCAGCTTTTGGCCAAGTTCCAGTCTCCTCTACAATACTTAAAAACACACGGAACTGTGAACTTTTTGCCAGACTCGACCAGAGTTCATCTCATGTAAAACTGAATGTAAGTGTAAACCTGTTTAGCACCGACGAGAGAAGGTTTAAATTGCAATTACATTTAGCACTCAAAGCATACAAGTTTGCATACTTGCATACTTAAGTTTTTGCTATTTAAGCCTTTTCTTAAAGTAGTACTGCAAGAAAAATTTACATGTATTCAGTTATGCGACCAAACCAATACGCAGCTGTGTGGATAGCGTTTCTCACCGTACTCAAACGTTATGCAGATGTTGTCATGCATGATCAAAGCAAAGCAGATCGAAGCAGATGTATCGAGGACAAGAAACTAATCTTCAGTGGTCCCGAGTTAAGTGTCACACAGCTGCATGTAATTGGCATAGTTAATGTACATCAAAGTTAGTCTCCTTGTCGCTGTAAGCTGTGTAATTAATGTAATGTATGCAATGCCTTGCATGTGTTTGTCAGCTTTACGCGCCCTTTTAGGCGACAATCTTGCCGATTTTGTTATCAGAAAAATATATATTTTTATATAGAATACCAGGGCACTGACGCCAAGGTATCTGGCAGAAAACTGGAAAACTACCAATTTTGTCAGTCGGAACAACGGGTAACTATGGAAACGAAACAAGTAAAAAAAGAGTCGTATTTGTTTAACACCTCAATACGCAATACGAAAACTGAGAGCAAAACAAGTTAACAAATGAAAGAAAAAAAAGAACAAACAACCAAGTAAAAAATAAAAAGAAATATACATGTATGCAGTTAGATTGAATTCCGCTCACGTGGTTTAATTCAAGCTAAATGTAATAACAAAAAAAAAGAGGAAAATATATAAAAAAGAGGAAAAAAAACAGACCGGGGCATAGCCTGATGCAGAAATATTGTGGAGGTATTTCTGCTCGGCAGGAGCTCTGGTCATCTATTACGTCACACTTACGTCACTACGCAAGTGAGTGATAGAAAGTCAGACAAAAACGAGTGGGCAAACAGTTCTGCTCAACCTTATTTGTAAATTGGAGTAAGCAACTGTACACACTGCTACAAAATTGTACAATGTAGAGTTTGTTGAGGGGCGAGTGTTACCACGTTTAGTCAGCATGCATTGTGCTAAAAGTATACGTGTACTGTAGAGGCCGAGCGCAGAAATCAGACGGGCATTTCTGGGTTTTAAGTCGAGAACTCATTACTGGGAAGACACTTAATTGTGGACAATTAATAAACCCCAGACCTGTCCTTTTCTGAAAAGAGAAAGGCACAAACAAATGAGACTTATACATTAAAATCTAGCCAAGGTTTAACGAGGGGTTTGAATCTTGTTTAGCAATAGCACTGTCCTATCAGAGCGTGCTCTTCGCAGAATGTGCCATTACCATGACGTGAATGAAGTGGAATGTGTGTAGCGGAACTTAAATTGTGATATAAATACCCAGAGAAGTGTATTTTATGTTAACACCGCTTTCGTGTAAATATACAAAGACCGGACCCATAAACTATAAATGGCGATTTTGATTATCTTTGGCTAAGTATGTTCATCAGGCAATGACTTTTATCCTCAGAAAGTGCACGAGATTCCAGTGCTTCATTACCGTGAACTACACCGGGGGCATAAGATACTGATGTGTGAATGACGATAAAGTAACAGTTTCCGTCTTATGCATATCAGAAGGACAAAAGTAATCAATCTTATTACATGTATTTGTTACTGATGTTTGAACATGCTGTGTGTATCTTTTTATGCACATAGAATATTCCAAAGTTAAGTACTGAATTATGAAATGAAAAAGTGTGTAATATTACTTAAAAAGCTGCGAAATCCAGTGTCTTTGTCAGGACTTTGTTGTATCAGTGAATTATATACCTCTCTCGTTTCTTTGCTCAAGTGGCAGTCGATAATGGACATTTGTCCATACATGACGTAGGTTTGTTTGAAGTGAGATTCATTCCATTTCTCGACTGCAGTTCAGCTGCAGCGCTGTAAGTACGAGGCTGTTGCTTAAAATTATATTAGAAACAAAATTGTAAGACAAATTTCAATTCTAGAATCCTTACAAGTCAATTAATTGCCTGCCACTTCCTAGTTGGGACCAATGCAAGCCGTTTTCAATGAAAAGTAAGACTAACAAAACTAAACCGTACAAAACAAAACACCTGGTCTGTGTGCCACCTCGTTAAGCATGGATCAAATATGGTTTTGACAGTGACTTTTCTAAGTAAGGGCCTAACTGTCGAACAACATACCATTTGCGCTAAGGAAAAAAGGATACGTGATAGCATGCATTTGGTAACTTTGACATGAGCTACATGTATTTCATCAAAAACTTGAGAAGTTGAATCCATGAGTGGGAGGTGAAACCAAACTATTAAGAGCGACATATTTATGATTGTGACACGCAGCAGATTTGAAGAAAAAATGACTGTGTTCATTTCCAACAACTGAGCCGAAGACATTAGTTTTCTTATGAATAATTTTTGAAAGTGTTTATAAAAAATTGTGTTTGAGGAGGTCAGTGCCCGAATGAAGGCAGAACTTGCTGACGTTAAATTCTCCTAGCGATAATTTTTCTTAGTCTCGTCTTTTGTTGAACTTTTCTTAATGTTATCCTGTTTGTATGAAACTAGTCGTCTTCCCCTTTGGTTTAAGTGTATTGAAAATGCACCTTTTTAACATTTAAGATAATAAGATGGTCCATGCTTTTCTGGACAACTGAGGGCGCTGTTGCTGTGATGTCAGTTACAGAAGACACTGCTTGTTTTACAGGTTTTTCTATCCAACTTGTGAGCATAAAATTTGCCTGTCGAAAACATTACTGAGAAAGGGTTGATCATTGGTTTATAGCCCTGCATTCACACAAAAATTAATCACCAAACAAATGAAACTTCAGGCCAACAACGTATAAAATTTCCAGCATAACTTTTTTGTGAACAAATCAATGTAACATTGAATATTCTTCCAGGCATGACATCACAGGTTTGGTCATGAATATGGGAATACTAAAAAATATACAAAGGTACCAGAGTGCCCTTTAAAAATAGCAAAGAAAAATCAGTACGTTTAATAAGACACAAATGCGTTTTCAAGAGCTGTGCGTAAAAATTTCATTGCGTAGATCCTTTAACCTCCAAGGTCAGTATCCTCGCGAGTGTATTGCGATTTTAACACTGCAAAAGACTGGTTCCTGGACCACGATACTATTTGCAATGTCAGATGTAATGTGACAATAATTGTACATTTTCACAACGAACAGTGTCCAATCCTTTAAAGAATCAACCCTGTAAAAACAAATAGATTTAGATGTACCTAAGTCCAGTAGTTTTAGTAACAATGGATCATTTGTTTTGCCAGGATTCTTAATGATGTTTCATGTTAAGAATTGGTTTTATATTACGTCAATCACTTTTCTCTTGAGAATTGAGCATGAGTTAATGATAAGGTTCAAAGAGTGTGCTGCAAAGCTTGTTTATGTTTGAAGCAATTAAGCTTAATGGTTTTGTTGCAACTTCGTTCCTTTTATTCTTGGAGTCAAACAATAAACAAAATTCTGTTTTTTTTTTCGGGAAGCATAAATCATCTTTGTGGTTGGCAATTTGATTACTGTGTGTCTAAATGGTGTTAACCGCCAACTGCTAAACCCAAACTCCGTGAACTTCATACTCGTTTTGTCACGTTACATACAGTGCACGCACTACAAGCAATAATGTCCATAGAGGACTCTTTCATCGAGAGGAAAGGGAAGGGGAGCTTAAGTGAAATGTGCTTGCTAGCCGATGAAATGAAGCAGCACTGTTTTGGCTTGGGATTTGGTTTGTGGTTCTTTTAATTATCGGAGGTCGCGCTTGATTGGACGTCTGGGACATCACGCCATTCTGATCGCGTGACTCGGTTTTTAGAAATGAGTGTGTTCGAGTAGCTTCCTCAGGGCAGCATGCACCTCGGAGAGGCCGTGTTTGCTGTGTGTAAAACGCGCAGAAGTGTGAGGAATAAGTTGAACCATGCAGAGTCAACTCGTGGAAGCTACTCGAACACACCCAATATTTCCAAGTGTATTACCCCTACCCCCCTCCCATGGTGAGCAAAGGACCTGCTTTAAACTACATGTACACCGATGACATCTCCGGACATGGTTCCCAGAGCACATGTAGTCGTGACCAAGCAATAGCCCACCTGTCACGGCTCACTTGCTTGAAAGAGTGCAATTCCAGTGAATAACGGGGAGCCCTTGCTGCTGTTTAGGGAATGCCAGCCTTTGAAAGAAAAAATCCGTTTGGCGCTATCAGGAGCACGCATCTACGCTTCACCTCTTCTGTGGACACTCTGGAAGTTCATTCTCTAGCGTCATAATCTTCCATCCCTTTTCCCTAGTCTCTATCTAAAGCGCGTGCCCTCCAAACTTGTTAAAAGATTTTTAGAAATAAATACGGAGCCGCTTTTCTCAACCAAAAAAAGGTTGTTTTCAAGTCTCACCCAAAGCAGCAACGAAAGTAACAAAATTTGCTGTGCATAATTCCCTCAACTAAATCTATTTATGTCAAGGTTTCAGGAATAGTTCGCTCAAATCAGAAAATATCTAATTCATTTTCAAGATGACGGAAGGCGAAGAGTGTTGAGACGTCCTCGGCATCCAGATGAATGCGGGCATGTGTGACCTCCGCTGTTCCCTGATCTGGGCCAGCGTGAAATGACTCCATATTTTCTGATATCCACTTTCTTTTCACTCACCAACATTCACCCAAATGGCTTCGAGTCGGAATGCGTGTAATGGGTTAAACATGCCGAGCTTCTGACAGGGGCTTTGCATCTGGCAAGATTTAATTTCAGCTGGCGTTTTGTCATGAAAATTCGGTTACACGCGGGAAGGCGCCAATTACGCTGATACGCCACTAAAGTTTTCCAAAACAAAATAAAGACGGGTCAAAGAAACTTTCTTGGCAGATTTTTACGTTAACCTAGATCTAGGGCAAGTCTGAGTCTCTGGTGATCCCTGCAAGGAATAAAAACCGAGCAAAGCTAAGTAATGGTTCGCTCCAGACAAGGAGATTCCAGCAAAGTTAACTTTATGTAACTTTTAGAAACAAATGTCCCACTTAAAGACGAGTCCCACGGAGCCACCCCATCCCATGGCACAAAAGTCTTAGCTTTCCGTACTCTAATCCGTACAATCAAATCAAGGGTAGACCCAGTACCATTTTGGGGGGGGGTGGCCTGAGCCTCCCTAGATTCACCGTTGAATCCAATTTACAAAGTTTGCCCGTTCCCAGTAATCATTCCAACGCCATAAACGACCACAAATCAAACGTTTTCAAGTGGTTCTAGACATTACTTAGTCCGGAATGAACTATTAATTTCAGGGAGTGATTTTTCGGAACCAATTTTTGAGGATCCTTTCAAAAGTCATATACAAAATGGTATGAAAGAGTGGGTACGAATATCGCCAACTTCACACTGGAAATTCCTTCACGAAAATAGTCACACAACCACTCCGCCCTCTGCACTGTTTCTTGCGAAGAGAACGGGGTACAATAGTTACGGCTTAATATACTCCTGGTAAGGATAGGATGAACAAGAGAACAAGCCGCTGAGACCTCGCACCTTACCAAAAGCTGGCTGCTAACCCGTCCTTGCGACGAAACACTTCCTGGACTCGGCAAAATGTGTCTGCTGAAGATGTCGTGGTACTGACCTCGGTTTCGCAAAGTCACTCGATGTCCCAATACGTAGGGCCCTTCCGAATGCCATGCCCATGGGCGTTCATGTCATATCGATGAATTCGATCTCAATACATGATGGGATACAGGGCCTTGTTAGCGGGTCCATTCCACTGAGCTGCCGGAAATCTACTGTATAGGGCTAAAAGCCGGTTCATACTTGGCGCGAAATCGAAAACGAACGCCAATTTGTGACGCCAGATCAAATGTTCGCGTTGAGAATAAGCCTTTTGCGAGTTAAATTTGTGTCTGGTACACTGAGTTATCTCATTGCACATAAACGAAACAATTTGAATTTCCCAGACTAAAGGCACTGTTGCTATATCTGGTGATTCGGGGCAAACATTTGCTTGGCGACCACCATCTCTGGGAGGGACTGGTTCCTCTGTTCCATTTTTATCCATTGAAAACACTGTGGGCCTATTAGTGCAAGGCAACCCTTATCTTGCCCCAAATCAAAAGGTATATAGCAACAATGTCTTTAGTATGGAGAATTCAAATTGTTATACTCGGTGTGCCAGATTTTGTTCAAATCTTTCTTGATTAGCGGCTCTATGAAACAAAATAGGCCCGATTTCATGGGTATGGTTACCATGAGCGAACAATCGTCGCTAACAGCAGAAAATTCTGCGCGAACGGTTAGCTTGTTCTTCAATTTTCAAGTAAATCTTTATGCGTGCGTTTTGAAATTTCGGGTCGACAGGCTTAACGCAACATTCTATGGTTAGCAAAACCGTGAAAAGTTGGACCCGTGTATTTCTTCCTGGAGAAACCAGTATTCCAGAAGCAAGCTTGGATCCTTCACCCACCCTTTGCATGAGGCTTTCCTGGGATACTTCGCAAGCTCAAGCAAGTAAGCTTGATGTTGATTTATACAGTCACTTGGGAGCTGTTCGTTGCCGGGGTCAACGATAGTGTACCCCGACTTGTGGGCAAATGATCCAACAGCTGGTTGAAATGTGGAGTATCGATTGGCCCATCAAGGTATGGCTTAGAAGCTGACCTGGAGTGATTGATGTAAACACTAAACAGCATTACTTCAGCTTTGCCTTCATCGAGCTTCCTTAAAATTGTATGTACAGCGTTGACTTCACAAGACCGTGGAAAGCATGCACGAGTGAAAGGCCAGTTCGATCGCGAAAGTGAAGCGAATTTCGACATCAGAAGACATTTGCAGAGAAATTTGCCAAGTTAAAATGGTTGTGTTCTACCAGTGAGTTTGCACCGCGAATATTTGATCTGATGTCCAAAGTTTGCGTTCACCTCCGTGCCGGCTTTAAAATGTAAAACTTTACAACGTTCAGTTGCGGTCAAGCCGTGTTTGAGCATGAGCAGAACTTTGAGGGCCATAAAAATGGAGACATACTCTGGGAGTAACAAGAAGTATCTCATTTAACTTGGCTTTCCCTTCAGAATAGTCTAGATATATCGAAGACCACAACGAACTCCGAAATAATACTGATGAAAGTCTTCTTGTGTTTGACTTCTAAAGACATCACAAACAACATTTTGGATAGAAGGAGGAAAATCTCAGAAATCGAGGCTATTCGACCATTCGATGTCCCATACGTCAAATCGCTCTCATTTGGCCGCAAGGTCAATGAATTCCCCTTGAGTATAGCCTTTCAATCAAGCCTGCTGCAGAGTGTCCTCAGGGGCAATCTCCCGTCATAGAAATGCTTGGTTAGGTTATCCCCTCTTCTCGATCCAAGTAGGTCACCTTTTTGAACTTACGTTGGGGGAAGTCGCAATGCGCATCAGCATTTTGGTGCTTTGGTGAAAACCGGATCCATCCGGACCACGAAAAAAAGCACTGCAGGTGCCAAAGGTTCAAGATGTGACCTACAAACTATTTTCCATCTATCCCCACCGGTGTACTTCTGCTCAGCGGCAACATTTGGCTCCTGCTCGAGGGAGAGACTAGTCGAACTACTTTTGACTAATTTAAAGGAAATTACGTGCCGACATAGTGGAAGAAAGAGAGAATTTTTTTTCATCCCATCTTAAAAAAAACAACTACATGCAGTACCAAAATACTCTCCATCTGCCCTTGATGTTTGAGCGACGTTTGAAATCTTGATTTTTAAACTGCCAATTGACACCTATACATCATCTCTGGTTCGCAGAAACGAAACAATTTCCGGAGAATCAATTTCATTCAACTACTGACTCGACATTCTTGGCGAATTTCTCGAGTAAGGGGGAACTTTCTCAACTTTCCCACATTTTTTTAATGTTTAAAGAAAAATCAATTTCTTAAGAAAAACACTACAACCGCCTTGCGTGCTGCATGGGAGCTATTTCACCAAACTGACTCGATGGGTGTCGATGCCGACATCTAACCAAAGGTGGCTTTACCCAAAACGTAAGGCTTTTGGCTTTGATACTCGACTGAACCATTCTTCCTGTTCTCATCCTCAACTCGATTCCAAACCACCGATGTAGGTCCAGTTTGCTGTACGAGAGCCATTCACATGTGGAGCACATGCTGCCAGCGTACCTTCAAATGAAAGTCACACAGTAGTGTAACTAGGGTGATATTTTTCTGAGGGGGCACCTGGGGGAACTAATTTTTTTCAAGGAGGTGCTGAAAGCAAACGACCTATGGCTTAGAACTAGGTTGGGTGACATGTATTTGGAAATTTCAAATGGGGAAGGGGGCACCTCGTGGCAAGGACGGCCGTTCGGGGAGAGCAAGTGACCCAAACTGTGGGTAACAAGCTTGCATGGACAGTTTCAAATTCAATGCGTCTACCATCATTCTCGCGAACACGTTGTTCCCTGAACTATCATAATCATTTCCAGCAAAGTGTAGCTATTTTCTAGTTATAAAGTTAAACATGTACTAACAACCATAAACAT